CAAGAAACAGTTGGAGGTACTGGATACTGCAAAGGCCACGGGCCCTGACAACATTCCAAATATAGTACTGAAGACTTGTGCTCCCGAACTTGCCGCTCCACTAGCCAAGCTATTTCAGTACAGTTACCACACTGGCACCCACCCAACAATGTGGAAAACTGCCCAAGTATGTCCTGAACATAAAAAGCAGGACGAATCCAACCCGGCCAATTACCAACCCTTCGGTCTACACTCAATCATCAGTAAAGTAATGGAAGGTGTCATCAACAGTGCTTTCTGCAGCACCTGCTCAGCAACGCCCAGTTTGGGTTCCCCTCAGCTCCTGACCACATTACAGCCTTGGTTCAAACATGGACAAAAGAGCTGAATTCCAGCGGTGAGGTGAGAATGACAGCTCTTGACATCAGGTTGCACTTGACCAAGTGTGGCATCATGGGGTCCTAGCAAAACAGGAATCAGTTGGTATTAGGGGAAAATTCTCTGGTGGTTAGAGTCATACCTGACACAGTGGAAGATGATTGTGGTTGTTGGAGGTCAGTCATCTCAGCTCCAGGACATTGCTGCAGGAGTTCCTCAGGTAGTGTCCTGGGCCCAACCACCTTCAGCTGCTTCATCAACGACCTTCCCTCCATCATAGGGTCAGAAGTGAGGACGTTTGCCGATGATCGCACAATGTTCAGCACCATTTATGACTCCTCAGATACTGACGCAATCCGTGTTCAAATGCAACAAGATCTGGACAATATCCAGACTTGGGCTGACAAGTGGCAAGTGACATTCGCACCACACAAATGCCAGGCTATGACCATCACCAATAAGAGACAATCTAAACACCACCCCTTGACATTCAATGGTGTTACCGTCATTGAATTCCCCACTATCAACTTGCTGGGAGTTATCATTGATTAGAAGCTCAACTAAACTCACCACACAGAAGCATTGGCTACAAGAGCAGGTCAGAAGCGAGGAATACTGTGGCATGTAACTCACCTCCTGACTCCCCAAAGCCTGTCCATCTACAAGACAAGTTGGTAGCGGATGGAATATTCTCGACTTGCCTGAGAGTGCAGTCCCAACAACACTCAAGAAGCTTGAAATCATCCAGGGCAGCACAGTAGTTAGCACTGCTGCCTCACGTCGCCAGGGACCAAGGTTCGATTCCAACCTCGGGCGACTGTCTGTGTGGAGTTTGCACGTTCTCCTCGCGTCTGCGTGGGTTTCCTCTGGGTCCTCTGGTTTCCTCTCACAGTCCGAAGATGTGCAAATTAGGTGGATTGGCCATGATAAATTGTGCATAGTATTCTGGGATGTGTAAGCTAGGTGTAGTAGCCACGGGAAGTGCAGGGTTACAGGGATAGGGTAGTGGGGTAGATCTGTGTGGGATGGTCTTTGGAGGGGAGATGTGGACTTGTTGGGCTAAATAGCCTGTTTCTACACTGTGGGGATTCTATGACAAAGCAGCCTGCTTGATTGGCATGGCATCCATAAGCATCCGCTCCCTCCACCACCGACGCTCAGTAGCAACAGTGTGTACTATCTACAAGATGCACTGCAGAAATTCACCAAAGCTTCTCAGACAGCACCTTCCAAACTGCGATCAATTCCATCCAGAAGGACAAGGGCAGCAGATACATGGGAACACCACCACCTTCAAATTCCCCTCCAAGCCACTCACCATCCTAACTTGGAAATATATCGCTGTTCCTCCACTGTCGCTCAGTCAAAATCCTGGAATTCCATCCCTAGTGGCATTGGATTAAGTGTACTACATTAGCGTACAAAAACTCAAAAAATGCAGTCAATGTAGCCTCTAAAAATGGTGCGATAATGTTCAGCACCATTGATACACTTGAGATCCCATGATCAGTGGAGTTCAGCAGCAGCCCTGCAAATTACATCTCAATTTGAATTTGTAAATTTTGGGTCACATTTGAGGGCTCTTGTGGTGTGTTGGTAGCATCCCTATCTTTGAGCCAGGAGAACGAGGGTCATGTCCCACCTGTTCTAGAGGTGTGTAATAACATCTCTGAACAGGTTGATAAGAAATAATTTTTAAGTTTCCTTTTGCAGATTTTAATTTTGTTACAATGCCCTTAAAGGGCTGTCACTTCTTTAGTTATTCATTTGTTTCATTGTCTTTTGTTTCCAAAAGCATATACAGCATCATTTCTCCTTTATTTTCAATGCATTTTAGAGCTGATATCTACACTATTCCTTGATGTCTGTTTGTTTTCCTGTTTCAATTTGTACTGCTTGTTCCCAATTTATGCAATTCTGTGCTTACAAATGTACAAAAAAAACTACATGGATGTGCAGATAAAACCCATCATTTCAAATGAAGTTTGTACAGCATAAGGTCCTAAAAATTCAAAGAAAAACCTCTGCTCTATAAAAAGTAATGACTGGGAAACATGAATGAACATGATCCAATCTCAAAATTTAGATCATAATGACATTTTGAGCTTTGCATTTGTAACCAAAGAGGCCTGATGAACCTCTCACTAGAATTAGTTTCCCCAGTTTCTACCACCAGTTAAAATCTCGTGTTGAGTTTGGAACTCAATGCTACCAAACACTGCATGTCATGTTCAAATTAATTGACTGCCAACAGTGGGATAACTGCTATTATATCTTTTCAAATCTTCAAATTTACCGTATTACTCTGTAAATTATTTAAATTCTGATTACTATTTGCAACCTGTTCATTTATAACTCAAGCATATTCAATTTACTTTGGTTTGGTGTATTTGTTCATTTTAATTCTGTTCAGTTACTTTCTTACTTGGTCACTTACATATGCTTCCAAAATTATTTGCAAGTAAAATACTGAAATATAGATGAGGCAAAGTTGGGTAATCAAATTCCTTCGATGATTGACGTGAAATGAATGTCTACGTCTCTGAGCGGCGATAAAATTAGAAAATTGCAGCGCAAATCGCCGGTCAATGGGAAAATGAAGCGTACACCGTGAGAGAATGGGAAAAGTCAGTGGCGAGAGGGGAAATAATCCACCGTAAAACAATAATCAACGAGGGGGAGTTTGAATTGAATCAGAGATAGTAGGAACTGCAGATGCTGGAGAATCCGAGACAACAAGGTGCAGGGCTGGATGAACACAGCAGGCCAAGCAGCATCATAGGAGCAGAGAGGCTGACGTTTCGGGCCTAGACCCTTCATCAGAAAAGCGGGAGGGGAAGGGGGTTTTGAAATAAATAGGGAGAGAGTGGGAGGCGGATAGAAGAGGGATAGAGGAGAGGATAGGTGGAGAGGAAACAAACAGGTCGAAGAGGCGGGGATGGAGCCAGTAAAGGTGAGTGTAGGTAGGGAGTTAGGAAGGGGATAGGTCAGTCCAGGGAGGACGGTCAGGTCAAGGGGGCGGGATGAGGTTGGTCGGTAGGAGATGGAGGTGCGGCTTGAGGTGGGAGGAGGGGATAGGTGGGAGGAAGAACAGGTTAGGGAGGTAGGGACGAGCTGGACTGGTTTTGGGATGCGGTAGGGGGAGGGGAGATTTTGAAACTTGTGAAATCCACATTGATACCATTGGGCTGCAGGGTTCCCAAGCGGAATATGAGTTGCTGTTCCTGCAACCTTCGGGTGGCATCGTTGTGGCACTGCAGGAGGCCCAGGATGGACATGTCGTCTGAGGAATGGGAGGGGGAGTTGAAATGGTTCGCGACTGGGAGGTGCAGTTGTTTATTGCGAACCGAGCGTAGGTGTTCTGCAAAGCGGTCCCTGAGTCTCCGCTTGGTTTCCCCGATGTAGAGGAAGCCACACCGGGTACAGCGGATGCAGTATACCACATTGGCAGATGTGCAGGTGAACATCTGCTTAATGTGGAAAGTCTTCTTGGGGCCTGGGATGGGGGTGAGGGAGGAGGTATGGGGGCAGGTGTAGCACTTCCTGCGGTTGCAGGGAAAAGTGCCGGGTGTGGTGGAGCTGGAGGGGAGTGTGGAGCGGACAAGGGAGTCACGGAGAGAGTTGTCCCTCCGGAAAGCAGATAAGGGTGGGGAGGGAAAGATGTCTTTGGTGGTGGGGTCGGATTGCAGATGGCGGAAGTGTCGGAGGATGATGCGTTGGATCCGGAGGTCGGTGGGGTGGTACGTGAGGACGAGGGGGATTCTTTTTTGGTTCTTATTGCGTGGACGGGGTGTGAGGGATGAGGTGCGGGAGATGTGGGAGACACGGTTGAGGGCGTTCTCGACCACCGAGGAGGGGAAGTTACGGTCCTTGAAAAACGAGGACAACTGAGATGTACGGGAGTGGAATGCCTCATCCTGGGAGCAGATGCGGCGGAGGCGAAGGAATTGGGAATAGGGGATAGCATTTTTGCAGGAAGGTGGGTGGGAGGAGGAGTATTCTAGGTAGCTGTGGGAGTCGGTGGGCTTGAAATGAACATCGGTTTCTAGGTGGTTGCCCGATATGGAGACAGAGAGGTCCAGGAAGGGGAGAGAGGTGTTAGAGATGGTCCAGGTGAACTTAAGGTTGGGGTGGAAGGGAAGCGTGATGTATTTACAGAAGAATGAAGTGAAGCAGATGAAAGTAGTCAATGGATGGATGAAGGGCTGCAGCAACCAACAGGAGATGCTTTTTTTTAAAAAAATAAAACTATGTTAGTGATCTCTGGAACAACAAAGAGATGTTGTCCCCCACCAGGACATGCAGATACAGATCTTTTCAGATGAAAAGAGGTGAGAGATCACAGGAAGAGCAGGGTAATGAAAATAAAATAAAAAGTCAGAACATAAGGCAATGATCACCTGGGGAAACAAAAAAGACTGACAAGAGGAGCACTAGAAAGCAGTTGCCAAATGTAGACAGCAGAGAGTGAGGAAAAGGAGTGACAGAGAACAGGAGAGTGACCATTAAAGGTCAGGCTGAGAAACACCGGCTGATTCAGGTCCACAGCCGGATTTGCTGCTTTGCTACTTGATTTCCAACGCTCGATTACTGTAAAACCACACGTTATGTTTATCAATGAAGGCTTGTTTGATTACTTTTACCTCGCCAGTCGAGAGTCACACACCGCCGGTTCCCGGGAAACAACTTCCTCCAAGATGGCGCTCGGCCGCTAGGTTGAGGCCGGAACCAACAGGCGGGAGGAAGGAGGAAAACGGCGGGGGAACGCATATAGTGTGACGCACCTTCGGCCGTTGGGTCACGTGGAGCCGCTGGGTGCCCGGCTGTGACGTCAGGAGAGGACCAGCGACGGTTAGCATGTGTCCGTGAGAGTGACCGCTGTCCGGAGAGAGGGTCAGTGTGAGACCCTCAACGTGACCGCTGTCCGGAGAGAGGGTCAGTGTGAGACCCTCAGAGTGACCGCTGTCCGGAGAGAGGGTCCGTGTGAGACCCTCAGAGTGACCGCTGTCCGGAGAGAGGGTCAGCGTGTGTCCCTAAGAGTGACCGCTGTTCGGAGAGAGGATCAGTATGAGACCCTCAGAGTGACCGCTGTCCAGAGAGAGGGTCAGCGTGTGTCCCTTAGAGAGACTGCTGTCCGGAGAGAGGGTCAGTGTGAGACCCTGAGAGTGACCGCTGCCCGGAGAGAGGGTCAGCGTGTCCCTGAAAGTGACTGCTGTCTAGAGACATGGTAGCATGTGTCCCTGAGAGTGTC